GGCAGCAGCGGCTCCAGCAGGACGCGGGGAAGGTGACCAGGTGAGCACCCTCGCTGCTGGGTCCCGGGCTGCCCCGTGGGAAGCGGCCCAGCCAGGACAGCTTAAATTTTGTAATTAGCCTGGCCTGGGACTGAAACAGCATCAAATGAGCCAGTTTTGTCTCGTATTCCAGCCGGCACCGGGCTCCTGTATTTGCGTTTGCTCCCGAGCTCTGCCTCAGATACGGTTTAATGCTCGGGAAGTCGCAGGAGACCCAGGTGTAACAGGGTGGCAGGTCTCGCCAGAGAGCCTCAAAGCTTTTGTTGTTTTGGCACAGATTGTTCTAAGAAGGGAGATTTTTGCCTAGAGAGTCTGTCGCTGTTGAAACCAAATCCTAGCCTCACCTCTCACTAAAATCGACGTGTACTCAGCCTCTTAATTCACCCACGCTGTGATCCAACTAGATGAATCCATCTCATAAAATCAGAAGCACACGTCTGAGGGCTCGTTATACACCTGGCCATGCGCTCTGGCTGTGGTGGAGCTGTGTCATGCAGCGGTTTTGCTTCAAAGGGGCTGGAGCGCACATTTTCTTCCCTTTCAGTCCACGCGGGGTTGGGCCCTGGAGTTTTGCTTTGAGAATTGGGGTTTGAACAGTAGAAAACTCAAAGCCAGGCTCCGTGCTGTGTGTTTGCTGTCTCAGAGAACACTTCAAAAAGTGCCTTATGCGTGATGAGTTTTTATTTCGCAACGCAGCTTCTTCCAAATAAAAATGGACGTTCCTTTGGAGAGCCGAATCCACCCCGTGGACTCTGAGGAGGAAGAGGACCACTGCCACCAGGCCTGTAAGGACTCTGCAAAGGAGGTCATCTGCCCTTGGGAGAACCCTACAGAAGAAGGGGGAGCGGGGTAACAAGCAGCCCCTGAAGCGGCCATGATGTGACCTGCGTTTGCCACGTATGGTTCAGGACAAGAACCATGCTGTTAAAGAAGTGCATTAGAGCCATCCTTCAGTGTCAAGGAAGCTCAGAGTACTACAGTTATGAATAACGGACCCTGATATACCCATCTGTTTGTAATTTAAGAAACTGAAGCATTTCTGGACTCATTTTCCTTCCTATCTTTGGTATATTCAAATCCATTCTCCATTCATTGGCAAACTTCTTGATAAATGAACTTCATTTCTTGCCTTATAGCAGATGCAGAGTGTATACATATATACATATCTATGCATACGTGTATATATATATGTATTTATATCTCCTGGGAAATGGTGTCTTATCTGACTTGCTTGCTTGGCCATGAGGTGTCAGCACACTGTACACAACACAGCTGGAACAGAGCTTGCAGGCATTTTTCAGAGGAGGACTCAAAACTTCAAGCACGGCCAAGACTGGCGCACGTTTGGGTCCCCAGCTTGGGTTCATCTCTTATTGTTAATAAGAATTTTTAATTTTAAAGCCAGTTCACTAAGAGGCAGCTGATTGCCAGGCCGAATAAATTGAACACTTCATGAGAAGCCATGTACGGTATGGCATGGCGTCACTCTTTGATCAAAAACAAAAATGGTCCCAAAAAGCATGCACTACGGGAGAACAGGAGTGGCTCCAGGGCACTTCTGTATTAGTTCTGGTTTCCATTTTGTGGCTTCTCAGTGCCAAGATGGGTTTTGAAGCCCTGAGTTGGACTGCATTTTTAACAGAATCAAATCTATGTTGGTGGTTTGGGCCGCTCCAAACGTAGACTGATGCATTGCCACCATCTTTAACTGCATTGTTGTTAAGAGTGTTAGAACATCACTTTCTTTATATGGTGTCAGTGTTTCAAGATGGACTTTCTGTTCAAGTGCAGAGGGGTTTCCTAGGTGTGTGTGATGTGGTTCATTATTCTGTAATTTGGCCATGTGGCCTGTGACTGTAGATGTTGCTGTTTTGTATTTTCTGCTTGTATATGGAGCTCTGCCTGTGTAGCTGACATGGTTCATCTTTCTAATTTCTACTCTAGGATTTGAAGTCTGTCCTTCTGCATGCTCAGGGGTCCATGTTCCATGGCAGGAGGTAAAGCTGCTGCTCAGTGCGTAGTATGTGGCTGCCTTTGCAGAGGTTAGCAGAAAAAACAGCCTGTTGGAGCGAGACATGAGCTGCAGCGGCCTGACCGTGAGGGCTGCGATTAGATGCTCCAAAACACGTGGCATGGTTCTCGCCTTCAGAATCCAGGTTCGGGATGACACTTTTTCTCCTAATCAAGGGACAGCAGGACAGTTTCAGAAAATCAATAGACTGTCATATCTCTGTTGCCAGACACTC